AACGACATCGACAACGACGACGACGACGCCCGCCGTCGACGACGACGACGACGATACTGACGACGAGGATGACGACGAGCACAACGACGGCGAGACGACGACGACGACGACGCCGTCAACGACGGCTGGCGAGAACCTAAGATGCAGGTCGGGCGAGCAGGAAATTGAGAAGGACGAGCGGGCTTTCGAGCATTGAAGCGGGAGGGACCCTATGATGGGAGGGTCAGGCTGGCGGCACATTACAGCAGGGGCGGGCGGGTTTTTAAATGTTCGGGCGAGCGGGACCATAACGGGCAAGCCGGGTGGGCGGGGCGGCGGGTGTCAGCGTCGGCGCCATCGTGTTCGAAATGATCCGCGTCGTCGTATTCGTTGTCGTGTTCGCAGGTCGTGTTCGTGTTCGTCGTCGTCGTGTTCGTCGTCTCGTTCGTCGTCGTCGTCGTCGTCGACGTCGACAGCGCCGTCGTCATCGTCGTCGTCGCATTCGTGTTCGTCGTCGTTGCCGTCTTCGCTGTCGTCATTGTCGTCATCGTCGTTTGCGATCGCGCCAGGGGGGTGGGGGGTCGACCGCGACCGCTCTTCCGTACGCCCCTCCTTACCCCCTAAGGGGGGGATTGAACAATCAGGGGGTTAAACCGGAAAAAACCTAGGCGAAACCCGAAAATCTGGCGCCGAACCCCAAAATCCAGAGAGGGCCAAACCCGAAAAACGCCCGAAACCCGAAAATCCAGCGGAGCGAAACCCGAAACCCAAGGAGCGGCCAACCCCGACATCCTAGAAAGCCTGCCTCGCCTCCGCCTCCCCCTCCTCCTCCCCCTCCTCCCCTGCCTCATCCTCCTCCTCCTCCTCCTCCTCCTCCTCGGCCTGCCCCCTCCTCCTCCTCCTCCTCCTCCTCCTCCTCCTCTTCCTCCTCCTCCTCCTCCCCCTCCTCCTCCTCCTCCTCCTCCTCCCCTGCCGCGGCGACGGCGCCGGAGGCGATGGCGACGACGACGACGCCGACGACACAAGCTGCGGCGCCGACGACGACAGCGACGGCAGCGGCGACTGCAGCCGGTGGGGACGGCAACGAGCCCGCAGGGCCCCGAGCCTAGGCCCGAGCCGAGCCTGCGCACAGGCT